GCAAACACTGTGGGATATTTAATTCCCATGTACAGACTTTCCCTGAGTGTTTCACTTAGAAAAAAATCAAGACCAGATTTCTCCTCAGAGATAGGGATGGTCAGACATGTGGGCCTGAGGCAAATTTTTTTGTAGCCTTCAGCCTTTTTTTTTTGGGTTATTTGAGCAGTCAGAGTCCCTTCCCTCTCCTTGCAGACTTTTCCACTGGAAAAGCATATGGGAAGTTCATAGGTCTGAGTGCTGCTTTCTCATTGGTTCTGGGTCAAACAGAATGAAAAAGAAACAAGGACTGAAAAATAAAAGGAGTAAATGAAACCATGAATGCATGGGAAACAAATTAACTGGATATGTTTTACATTCTGAAATATTTCCATAATGCTTCTATGTAGTGTGTGTTTATTTTTCTTTGAATAATAATGTTAAAATGTGTCTAATTCAATTACTCTCTGCATTTGCTGAATGAGTTTTCCTTGGTGAAGGGCTCTCCTACACTACCCCAAGCTACGAATTCCATATGATATTTGAACAGGTCCTTTTAATTGCTGATATTAAGTGTCGATCATTCCGCTGTGAGTTGGCAGCATGGCCAGAGAAACAAATTCCTCTCTCAGATACATCAGACAGTCATTCAATTAACAACCAGAGCTTTATTGACACAGTAGGAATTCATTATGTGAAATATTAAAAAAAGCCCTCCACTGACTAGTTTAAAAAAAAAAAGAGACTTTTAAAGATGGTGGATTATCTGCATGTGGTTATTAAAATTATTTGTGCAGAATTTGAAATTATAGTTATGATGGAAACATTTTTTTTCTCAGAGGCATAAGGAGCATTTTTGTTGAAAACATAAGTTGGACTTTGAAAAGATGACTATAATGTACACATCCCTATTTCCACAGACATTGTGCATTTTCTTGATTAAAAGCCTTAGATTTTATGAGTTATGGCTTTAGACTTGCTGCATAAAGAGCTTCATGGCTTATTCTGTTAGAGTCTAATTTGAAAGAAAGTTCTTCCTCAAGGGTTTAAGAAGTAATTCATAAAATGGTAAGAATAATAAATATTGTGCCTTAACTCATACACTAGGATAGATAGACAGATTTTGTACACCTGGGTGTAATTTTAGTTAATTCACACAAGAGACAGGCTAAAAGTTTATTGTTTGGAAGGAGAAAAATGGCTTAAATCTTGTATTTGCAAAAATGATTATATTAGCTTAAATGAAAATGCTACTCTATTAATGGCTTCAATAATCTTTGCATTTGGAAAAGTATTTTAATAAAAAGTTACCTGAAGTTTACTGCAACTTAAAATATGTAAGTGAGGGAAAAGTACTTACCTTGATTTATATGTCTTTTGGAGGTGTAATTATTGGCTTTTTACTCACCTATGTAAAACAATGTACTTTTGTAAATGGATTTCTGGCCACTTTACTCCATTTTTTTTTTTCCTTTTTTTTTTTTTCACATAAAAATAAGCACTGTCAATCAAAGAATTTTAAGGTTTATTTCCTCTTTAGAAATGATTGATAGCCTTTTAGATTTACAAGTTGACAAGTTAAAGGGTTCTATTGGTATAATTATGTACTAAATTCACAGTCTTTCAATTTAAATGTCCTTTTAAAACCACAAGATTATCATACCTGTATTTTGAAAAGTGGGCCAGTCAGTTTGGGTTGGTATACAAATTGCTTCCATTAGCCTTGGGACCTATTTGAATTTAGTACAGTTTTTTAAAGTTAGTAGTTCTTTCAATGGTACTTTTAAAATATAAGGTAATGGGAATGCATTTTAAGTACCATATGTGTTGTTTTTAATGTAGGGATGTCAAGAACACAAATAGAGAGTTTGTATTTCTGATTGATTCTCTTTTTTCCAATCATGGAAAGAAAACTGTTACTTGAATTAAAGGGCTGGGAAATGCCTTATTGTGGATGGACTTGAGCAGCAGAGACGTGCACTGGGGCAGAGCAAAACCTTGCAGGGAGGAGCTGTCTGACCTTGGGGCAGCTCTTCTGCAGTGCTTGGAGATGAGAATATTCCCTTTTCTTTGGAGTTTTTCCACCTCCTGACACACAACTGGTTTGTTTTAATGCTGAGGGTGGGGTTAAATATGTGAACAGATCTCTTTCATTGAGAGATGATTAATTACTTTTGGGTTGTAAATGAACAAGGAATGGAGGGCTGAAATTGTCCAGTCTGTGGTCAGCTGTCCAGGCAGTTAAAGATATATTTTTTTTAAATTTATTTATTATATTTTTAAAATTTTATCTAATACTGAAAGGTTGAAGTGTTATAGACTAATGTGTGGTATTTAACAATAGCAGTTTAAGACCCAGTCCTGCAGATTTCTGTGTGCAGCCTCTCCCCACCACCAAAGTAGAGCTGAAGCTGTTTGAGGCAGAAAGTTTTCACTATCTCTCACAGTATGCTTGATGCCTTGTGAGATTGGACCATAAAATTAGCGTTTTATTTTTTATTTTTTTTTTGGGCCATTTAGTTCAGAAAATACTCAGAGGAAATACTCTGTGGATTTCAAATGTGTTGAAGGTGTAGGAAGATATGAGAAAATGACTGCTAAGTCTGGGGGGGATTTCAGAACTGGCCTCCATTTGTAATATTGCAGAATTTAGTAACTACTTTCCCAAAGGATCTTAAGGGAAATGACCATAAACTAGTCTGAATTAGAGGAGAAACACATTTGACAGAACCACTCTAAAATCTTTGAACATACTTGCAAAAGAAATGTAAATTTGAACTGTAGAGCTTTAGGGTTTTTTAGTCTTCTCAGAGAACAGCTAATTTTAATAATAAATATAAATGGCAGTAAATTAATTAATTTGAGAAAGGTTTAAACTAAGCAGCCTTGTAGGTAAACTCAGAGGTAAGGAAACCAGGGGGTTCCAAACCAAGGTTCTATGGTATTTTCTGAAAACTACACAACAGAGAGGTCAGTGAGGGCCAGGGTGTGAAAGGAAATGTAGGAAAAAATTCCCCAACTATCCCAAAATCAGGAAAGGGCCCAAGATAAGGAAAAGCCTTCTGCTCACTCCTTCCATATAATGACCTGAATATAAATAAAAGATCGCATTCAGATATTCCTGATGAAAGGAAATTCCTGAAAAAGCCCCAAACAAGCAAGGAGACTGGAGGGATGTCATAACCTCTGGGGTAGGAAAAAGCTCAGCAAATCAAATCCTGAAGGATTTCTGGCCTGGTGTTACCCCATAAAACTGTAATTTCAGGATATGGTTCCTCTCTGATATTAGAGGAATGTTGAGGATCTTTTGCCTCTCCAGCCAGTCCCCATCAGCCACACATTTGTGTTTCACACAAAGTTTTGGGTAGGTCTGGGTCCCTCAACATCACCTTCCTCTGCCTCAGGCTGCAGCAGCATTGCTGGGTTTGCCTGTGGACATGGGATGTGCCAAAGGTCCAGGAGGAGATAGAAATTTGACCCTTTGCTTGCCAGCTGGACAATCTGCTGTAGAAATGTGGTTTGAACGTGACAATAATGTAAAGGGATTGTTTTTTGGCTTGTTGTGGGAGCCAATTAATTACAAACAAGCCAGGGATTATATACTGGTTTCATGATAACATTTAGGAGTATGTGCAAATGTTCTCTTCACTTAAAACATGGAAGTACAGACAGGTTATGCCATGTTGAGGATGGGAGACGGAGTTTAATGCTTAATCTTTTTGCAGTCTTAAAAATATCATAGTTCTAGCCACATAGTAAAGTTCATAACAAGATCCTCATAGAGGTGTATAATATATTCATAAATTAATAAGACTTTCTGTGAGAAATATTATCTTTTTGCTATTAATAAGCTAAGACAAGGAAAACTTTAAAGTGATTCAAAAATGAAAAAAGATCTTTTTTCCCTCCACAAAAAAAAAAGGCTGAAAATATAAAAATCCATGTTCATATTGATTTTTTTTTTTCAGTTTAACTCAGAAATTTGAACAAATTGCTGTGGAATATTTCCACATCTCCATTGGCATGGGAGAGTCAAGATGTGCTGTTGTTTAGAGATGCTGGAGAATACTTGACTGTTCCAGTTCACCAAAGCACTTAGGAAATTCTAAGCACATGTTGAAGTCTCACTAACATCTGAGTTTTAAAGTGATCATATGACTGGAAATATAGCTAGAAGGTCATTCAGTGCAGTCCCCTGTAATTATAGGCAATCATATAAAAAACATAATATGCTCAAATTTGCTTTGCTGAAAGTAAATGGGTTTAAGTATGTGCTTACAGATAAGCATGTGCTTAAAGGCTTGACACAATCAGAGCTTCCATTAATGCAGACAGACCAGCGTTTTCATGAAGATTAAAGTGTTCCACTTTCACCATTTCTCACCTCCATTTTATCGGACAAGGACTAGGGAAAGATGAACTAAAAACATGGATATATATTTTGGTTTTTTTTTGTTAAGTCTTCTGGATCAGTTCAGTGCTGATTGGAGCCTAAGCTGCTGAAGTCAGTGTTGATGAGTAAAAAAATAAAACCTCTGCCAAGACAACTGCCTGTATTTCACAACAAAATTATTTGTGAACATTGCACATGGAGCATATTAAATGTATAATGAAATTTGGAACAAATAAAGCACTGGAATAGCAACTACTTTTTGTCTTCCAATCACCTTCCTCATAATATGAAAAACCCAACATGAAACATGGGGTGTAAATCAAATTGATTTCATTGCGCCTTTCAGAGATAATAATAATTGTTTCCTGTTTGGAAGATCATCCCCAAATCTTCCAGCAGCTTCGCTGGAGGAGCTGAAGTGGGAGGGTTTGGGTTGGAGTCAAAGGACCAACCTCGAGCAGCGTTTGAAGGAAGAACTCATTCATTGAAGGAAGAACTCATTGATTCTGAGTCAAAAGGGGCTTTGCCGCGGTCCTGCCGCGGTCCCGCGCTGCCTTGGCCCGTTGCTGTCGCCTGAGCCCGTTGCTCTGCCTTTGTCACCTCACGCTGTTGGTTGTTGTTGTTTCAGCTCTGAACGAACCCACCATTGACTACGGTTTCCAAAGGTTACAGAAGGTTATCCCCCGGCACCCCGGTGACCCCGAACGCTTGCCAAAGGTCAGCACAAAGTTTGTTGTTTTATTAAATGTGGTAAGGATGGTTACTGCGTGCTTTTGTCTGAAAGTGCAAGGCTCTGTAAATGTGATGGTCCTGGTCTGGTACCCAACCCAGATAAGCTGAAACAGAGGTGTGACCAAGAAAACCAGCAATGGAGCCTTAGGAGAATTCTGTTATCTTCCAATCACAGCTAACTGAAATGACTCTTGCCTTTCTTAAACACAAATATTTCTCTGTATTCTAAAATACTTAACAATGAACAACTTTTTTGGTTACTATTTTAGGGGCTGAGCAGTATTTTCGTAGAGTAATGATGCTTTTTGGTATCAGTAGAGCTTTGCCAGCATAATTCTGAGAACTTCACCATTGATAAAATCAAGTTAATTGGATGTGACTCCATTGCTGCTGCATCATGTGTTGGTTTAGGATAATAATGATTATATACTGTTTTATTTCAGGATTGCTGATTTAATTAGAGCATTGTGTACTGAAGTGATGTTTGTTCCCATGAAAATTAGAGAGGTTTTTTTGTTGATTTCTGCCAAGTTAAAGCTGGAGGAAAGACAGCATTGTTCAGATAGGTTTCTTGTACTGGGAAAACACTGGTATTGCACTCAGATCTGGTTTTGCTACCTTGCAAGAATTTGCAGTGACTTTTGTAGTAGAGTGGAGTAAGAGATGGGAGATTTAAGTGTTGCTCATGTCCACAGGACCTCTGAGCAGTAGTGATGATCAGGAGTCACTGTCTGAGCCACCACATGTTTTATCTGCTGTTACTGAGTGAGCTGGGGAGCCAGAACACTCCCTGTGGAAAAGAAAATGTGAATTTGCAGAGCTGAGACACAGACAAATGAATTGTTCAGTTAATGTACATCCAGTATAGCCTTTGTGACTGGGCAATACCTGTGACCTTTCTTCTGTAGCTCCCTGAGCTGTCCACAGGCTTTCATCAGGGATTGTTGTAGGCTTTGATTAGTTGCATTTCTAAAGTGTTTGAAAGGTGAGATTTCCTGGACACTGGAACTTAATTTGTTTAATTCCTTGAAAGGAATGAAATTCAGTGTGTGACTTTTTTTTTACAGGCTTGTTCTGTCTTTTATCTTTGCCTAGGAAGGCTGCAGGCTGTGGGTTTGGGGTCGCTGATGTGTTGTCCTTCCCTCTTCCCACCAGAGAAACATGCTGTCCTGGAGAGTTACATTTACCATTGGCTCTGTTCACCCTCTGCAAGCTGTCCCTTTCCCTAACATTTGGACAGACTTGCAGCAGGACACAGCTTTCATGGCTTGTCAAGTTTCACTCCAGAGGTGCAACCCTTTCCAAAGAAAGAGAGCATCCTTCTGTAGGGGCTTTTTTTTTTCACCTCTATCCTGCCTCTGCTGCCAAATGTGCTTCTGGAGGAAAAATAGTTTCTCAGAAAAGGAGAAGCCAGCCTTCACTGTGCACCAGGCATTTGCAAGGCCCAAAAGAAATGCTGCAAAGCTTCCCTAGCTGGCTAGTAGATGGCCATAGATTTTATTTAATTCAGGAAATTCAAGTAAAATAAAACTGGGCAATTCCAAATTGACTTATGTGGTCAGGGGTTGTGGTGCATCACCAACTTCCACAGGAACTGGACTCCTTTTTGACTCCTGAGGCACCAAGGGGGTCCCCAGCAATGCCCCTTTTGTGCTGGTGGGGGAATGTGGGAATGCAGCATCCAGGCTGAGCACCCTCCACTTTCCCATTTGGTCTGAGACTGGTACCACACATTCCTCCTGCCTGTAATCAGGCAGAAGAAAGCTTCTCCATATCCTGACTCAGAAATTTAGCAGGTGTTTATGGAAAAGGTATGAGACTGAGGGTTAGCACTGAGTCATCTGTCCCCTCCTATACCCTTCTTGTTGGCTTCATGTGTTTCTTTGGAGTATCTTTTAAATGAGTTTTTCAAATCTTTAAATCAAGGGAAATTGTGGTTACGTCTGCAGAGGTAAGATGTGATGGCCTAAAAATAAAAGTTACTTCTTAAAGGTTGGACAAACTCAGTGATGAAACTGGTAATACTTAGAGGGAAACAGGATTTTTTTTTTTTGTCTTTGGGTAATTCCTTCTGTACAAGCTTGAAGGTTGGACCTCAAGTTCAAGTCTCATTAATATGCCACGCACAGAGGCGGAATGCAGCAGGGGTTGGCACATGTCGACTTCTGTATTTGAGGCACTGATGGTTCAATTCCCAGCATCGCTTGCTGGCTCCAGGATCATCATCAAGGACGCCGTGAGCCTCTGTGCTGGTGAGCACTGCACAGTGCTCTTCCCCATGTCATTAAACCAGGAAGGGCTTTGGCACTATTCCACTACAGACAATTCTCAGTGGCTACTTAGAGGAGTGTTGGAAGCCATATGGCTCCCACAGTGGAACCACGGGCAGAGAGGGCAAATGTTCGAGAGAAGCAGCAGAGAGCTGAGCAGTGCTCAGAGCTCTCAAAGTCCTTCCCTCCATTTCTCCTGTTGTCCTGGCAGCACATCCTCACTTTCTGTTCATGGAAAAGCTTGTGCCTTTGCATTAAATAAATAAATCATATTTCTCTAATTGCTGCTAGGCTTTGTGGCCATTATTCCATTGAAACATTACTGATGAATTAGAGATCTTTCCAGAGGTAGAAGTGATTATAATTTTTGTGTTCATAAGGGAATTCTGCCCTTCCCATGGACCATCAAGATCACTCTGCTCTGTGACTTATCCCTGCAGTCAAAGAGAATTGCTGAGGCCATCAAGTGAGTGTCAAGAGCTCTACCCTCCAGAGCTGAGGAGTTAACAGCATTTCTAAACTCATTGAGGATGTTTGAGAAGTTTGATCTCCACAAGTTTAGAACCAGTATTTTCAAAAGTGCTCAATATTTATGTTCAGGATGAATTTTTAGAAATGTTCCAACTATCTGCTGGAAGTAGGCAAAGAAAAAACAAAGACAAATTTTAAAAAAATAATTTCTCCTTCCCAGTGTTTCAACAGTCAAATTCCAGTAGAGAATGCCCTCTGACAGCGAGGAGAATGAGAGCACCCGGAAACGAGGGTCTTTGGACTGCTAAATTGACATCTGATGTGCTTAAAGTAGAAATGCAATATATAGTTTCTGGAGAAAAGAGAGGGAGCTGATGTTGGCAGCTGAGCTATGGAGACAGCTTGAGGCAGAATTAAAACCCAGGAAAACAGGAGTTCCCTTCTTGTCCAGAGCAGGTCAGGGAAGGCAGGCAGTGGAAGGAGATGTGCATGTCTGTACAGACACCCCCACACACACAAGCACCAGGAGGAGAGACAAGAGATGGTGGGATTAGCACTCAAAGCTTGGTAATTCAAGTACCAGGAGTGTGCTGGGCAGTGTAGCCTTTCCTCTCTAATACAGACAGGAGGCAGATCAGAGGAAACAGGAGATCTCTGGGGATAAGAGAAAAGGAGCACTGTGCTGCTAAGGTTGAGAAATGGTGTCATTGTCCTGCAGAGTGCAGAGAGCCCGTGTGGAGCTGGGAGCAGCCCTGCACGTGGCTGTGCCCCATTCCCATCTCGAGAGTTTGCACACGTGCACACAAATGCACTCGTGTTGTTGGTTCCTGTGCACATAAACTGCAGTGGAGATCACTGAAGAGTTCAGATCACAGCAACATGTTGAGTCTATTAAGGTTCATTCATGTAACTACCCTGCAATCCTTAAAATAAATCCCTGGCAGACACGTTGCAATTCTGCAATTTTGTTAAAACTCCACAGCTAGAGCTGTAAAACAGCTTCAACTGTGAGCTAGATTTGAAACACATCCATCCTAAATGATTTAATAACAACGATTCCTCTTTATATGCAATTTCCTAGATTTTATTTGCCATTTTCACCACTCCTACAACTCATCACTTGTATTTAGATTAAGCAGAAGATTGTTCACTCTGTGTTTGAGAAGCAAGTCATTGCATCAACCCCCTCTGTGATCTGACGTCCTCTCCCTCCCAGTCTGTTCCTTCAGTGCTCTCTAGGAGACCCCTAATCCCTCCTGAAAGGGACCTTTACTTCTGGTTTCTCTTCATGTAGATGAAAGTGGAGCTTCTCTCTCTAGTGCACAGGGGGCTCCCTGCTGAGCTGAGAGCACAGGTAACCAGAATCCTCCTTCCCTTCAGCTCCCTTTCTCTGGTCAGTCATTAAACCCCCCAAAGACATAGCCCACCTCCTCGTTTAGGACACACTAATAGGAGACATGTGGTTATTAAGAATCAGAGGCTGGCAAAAGCAGTTGTCTTTTTCCATACGAAATCCCACAGATCTGCCCTTTATCCATCGTGACATGGGTATTGTTTAGATTGCAAATAAAGGTTGTCTCTAAACGTGGGTGGTTGGCCCAGGCTTGCTAGCAGAGGTTAAAATAGCAATGAAGACAATACAGCTCAAGTTTGCTGCCTCAGACAGACCCAATGGAAATTCCAGAAAGGGTTGCCATCTACTAACTCAAGATATACTGTATTTTAAACTAAGTTAGTAATTTTCAGCTAGGAAAACACCTTTTTTATTTTTTTTTCTAATTTTTTTTTTTGTTCCTATCCAGCATAACAAGAGAATCATTAGAAAAACTTTTATACTAAGTGTGGGCAGGAAGGGGGGGCTTGTAAAGAGGAGTTCATCTGTACAGCAAGGAGGTCATGGGATGTGCTTAGAGGGTTCTACATTCTACTTTAAAATTTACAGGAATGTGAGACCAGAGTTGAGGTTGGTATTTAACCCCCAACAGCTGGGGTTTTTTTTAAGTTTCCTAACAATTTGAGCACTTAGTTGGTTGAGGAGCTTGCTTAGGGGGACTGATAGTTTATTTATCCTACAGAAGATATTGAATGAGAGAGCATCAAAGCTTCTGAGATGGTGAGGTACCCGTGGAAGTGTCACCTTTATGGGGTGGTGGATGTCAGAGAGGTGTGTGGGAATATGCAGAGTCTGAAATGCAGAGCAAAGGGACAGAGGCACCGCTCACTGAAGGGCAGAGCCAGCGCACA